ACGTGATACAAAGGGCAACATCTCTGAATGTCATGTGTGTCCAGCAAGCCAGCTTACTTAGGATACAGGCCTATTTTTAGTAGCACCCAAAAAAGCCAGTTACTATATCACAGCACCTCATTTGTCCCCATTTGTTTACCGGGCTGTGTCCCATACTGGCTCCAGCGTATCCAGGCAAAGGCAGGGACCAGGTCTCTTTCATTTCCATACCACACCCGGCCTGGCACAGAACCAGCATGCCATGTGTTTGCTGGAAGGATGAGGTTTTCATTGTCCCCTGCAAATGGGCTGCTGAGAGCAGGTGTTCTCAAGCTGAAGTGGAGGTGACTTCAGGGACTGGTCCATGACTCCCTTGAGAAATGCTGTAAAAAGCTCATGGCAGTGGGAGTTGGGGGAGGCAGTGCCCTGGGGCACACCCGTGGCTGGTGTGTGTGTGTGTGTGTGTGTGTGTACTCTGTGCCCAGGACATATTTGTGTTCAAGGAGGCACTTCATGCGTACGTGTGTGTGATTGTGTGGCGTCTGTGGTTTTCATCAGTTTTTCAGAGAGTGTGGACCCAGCAGTGTAAGGAGAGTGGAAACAGACTGAAAAGCAGCAAGCAATGGTAAGGGGCCTCTCTGCATGACCTCAGGAAAGTCAAGGCTGGTTCTGTACCCTTGAGCCAAAAGGGAGTCAGAAGAGGAAATGCATCAGACCCACTGAGGCAAACTGATAGTGAGCACTACCAGCATTTCTGTCCCCAACCCAGCACCCAGGGGATCTGATACCTTCTGGAGATGACCATGGACTCCTGGGGAATTCCAGGTTAGAAGGGGGAAGAACCCACTGAACCTCACGAATGCCCAGGGCACTCTCAGGGAAAGGGCCACCAACAGGGTGTGATCAGCAGCAGCCAGGATCCTAGAACCCCTTAATCCTCTTCTCTGCATGGGATAAACTTGGACAGCTCATCCACTAGAAGAGAAATGAGAGCGCTCTTGACACATCTCCGGGCAAATAAATTTGGAAACGCAGTTGGACAAAGTGGATAGTTTCTTGGATATGGTTTACCAAAACTGACTCCCGTAGAAACAGCGAACATAAATAGGGCTGGTGAGATGGCTCTGCAGGTAAAGGGGCCTGCCACCAGACCCAGCCACCTGAATTCAGTCCCTGAAACCCGTGTGATGGAGGGAGAAAACGGACTCCCAGCAGTTCCTCAGCATAGAAAGAAGAGAGACCTAAGGCCAGCCACACGCACAGGAGAATCACGGGGAAAGCATCACTTAGGAATATGCCGGGAAAGACCTTCATATGCAATCAAACTGATATTGCCACCACAAGGAAATATACATTGTGGCCAAGTGGAGTTTATACTGGGAATGATGACTGTACTTATATACTTACACTTAGATGACCTCTTACTATTTAAACCAATATGCAACAGGTTTAGGAATAAGCTCATATTTTCTCATAGGCACACACATGACTTTTACGCCAATCAAGTCCCATTCCTAATAAAACTCTCAGAGAAACAGGGATGGATACCTTCTGAGCATAATAAACGCATACATCTAAAGCCTACGTGAGCATTTGAGGTCCTCCTACCATGGTCAAAAGCAAGGCAAAGGGGACTGAAGAAGATGGTTCTTCGGTTAAGAGTGTCTGTTCTTCCAGAGTATCAGAGTTCAGTTCTCAGCATTTATACTGGGTGACTCACAACCAACTGTAACTCTAGAACTGGGGGATCCAACGCCCTCTTCTGGCCTCTACAGACAACTGCAAGCACACGGTGCACATACCCACACACAGTTACACACACACACATATAGTTAAAATAAGTTTTTTTTTAAAGAGACAAAGATGATTGGGTGGTGGTGGTGCACACTTTTAATTCTAGCACTGAGGAGGCAGACAGCAGGCAGATCTCTATGAGTTCAAGGCCAATCTGGTCTACATAGTGAGTTCCAAGACAACCAAGCATAGCTAAAGCTACATAGAGAAACCTTGTCTTAAAAACAGAGAGAGAGAGAGAGAGAGAGAGAGAGAGAGAGAGAGAGAGAGAGAGAG